CAAACCAAAGAAACAAAGACTCAGGGAAGGAAATAGCCTAAGTTTACTCAAGGTTGTTATTTATCGATTAGGCAATGGATACCTAAAAAAGGTAACATTTATTTCTGGGCATTTTATTTTTTAACGACATTAAGTGGCATAGTGTTTAAATTTTATTTTCTAATTGTTGGTGACATAAAGAAATACAAGAAATACATTTATATTGACCTTATATTTAGGAAAAGTATTAATTTTATCTACAAATTGTACTAATGCATAGTAGTATCATTGTTGTTATTATTTTTATTATTAATTGGATGTTGAACTTTATCAAAAGCTTCAATTTCCAGTATTGAAATGAATTTTAATATTTTTCCTTTTCATTTGAAAACATTATTTTTTCTGGATTCTCTGAAAACATTTCTTTTATGATATTTCTATGTTCACGAGAGAGAATATCTGTAATTCAAAATATATCCTTGTCAGATTTTAATATTAAAATTATGGAGAAAATAGATTCCCCCTTTAGGTCCTTTTTAATACAATGTTTTTTTTCACTATCATTCCAATTATATGTTTTTAATTTTTATTTCTTAAGTGTTTCTTAGCTTATTCAGAGATGCCCTTATTTCCAATGGATTATTTTACTAGTGAAACTTTTGAATTTGCATTTTAGGATCTAGCTTTGTTTTTTTTGTCATGCAGAAAATAATGAGGCTAATCCTTGGCAAATTATTAAAACTTGCTTTGTGGCCCTGCATACAATAAATTTTTGGTCAATGTTTTCTGTAACTTTCAAAAGAATGCATGATCTGATGTTGTTCAGTGCATTATTCTATACTTGTCATTTAATTATGTTATTAATTATGGTCTTCAATCTTCAGCATCCTTACCAAAATCTTATGTAATTACTCTATCAGTTTCTTGTAAAAGCATAGTAAAGTCTCAATACAATAATGGCTAATCTAGTTTTAAATATTTTTTCTTGTTTTTCATTTTGAGGCAACATTGATAAGTGTATATAAATTTAAAATTGTTATTTCTACCTGGTGCATAAATTGTTTTCATCCCAATGAATGTATCTCTTTATATCTACCAATGTTGTTTGATGAAATGTGTGTGTGTGTGTGTGTGTGTGTGTGTGTGTGTGTGTGTGTGTGTAGTTGCATGAATATGTCTACAGCAAGTATACATATTCAAGTACTTATTCGTTATGTTTTTCTATATGTTTCCTTTCAAATTATTTTCCTCTATCACATTGATTTTACACCTCCTTAAACAATATTTAAATGATTTTTTCTTATCTATTTTGACAATATGTATCTTTTGAGTATTTATGTGATTTTATTTCAACATAAATACTAATGTATACTTTCAGTTTACATCATTTTAATTTTCTTTCTGTTTTATCCATTATTCTATATTTTTTTCTTATTTCTTGATTTTTTTAAAATTGCAAGACCTCTACCTAGCTACTAGAATTTTGTACACTACAACTTGCATCTTATTTTGCCTGTTTTGTGTTAAGAGACCATCTATGTATCAGCAGCAAATATGAGAACTTGTCATTCCAATTTTGAGTTTTACAAACTTCACAGGAATTTCTGGATTATTTTGGAATTACTATTGGTTACAAACGTCACATTTTATTAGGATTATATTTTAGTTTTAAAATAGTCTTTCTAGGGGCACCTGTGTGGCTCAGTCAGTTCAGCATCTGACTCTTGGTTTTGGCTCAGGTAATGACGTCACACTTTGTGAGTTTGGTACACTAGGACAGAGGAGGACGCTGCTTGGGATTCTCTGTCTCCCTCTCTCTCTACCCCTTGCTGTCACCCACTCTCAACTGTGTGCTTCTCTCTCTCAAAAATAAATAAACATGAAAAAAATAAAATAGACTTCTAGAATCTTTGAAAATAGCTCCTATATGAAAATTTTATTTTCCCTATATTTTTGTACTGTAAAATATAATCCAGCAGGATAAAATCACCTGCAACAATTTGGCAAGTATATGAACTATTTTAAAGTGAACAAATGTTTTCATGAACACAGTTAAGATCAAGAAATAGAAAGGTAAACATTGCTGTCTTTAGTATTAAGTATCTCTATTACAATTGCCATTAGCTTGTTGGTTACATGTTCTTTTACTATTTTTATTAGTTAATCTAGAGGTGAGAGCATGCACTGTGGACATACAAAATCTGTTATAAAATCGTAGTTTATCAATTTCTCAAATTTTAAGGATCCCAAATTTAAGGAGTTTAGAATATTTTAACTTTATGTGTCTTTCTCACTTATGATCCCTTGTTGCCATGTGTATGATGCATATTTTAAACTCCAGAAAATGTTCTTTTGATTTCTATTCACTCATTGATAACTGCGTTTTTATGAATATATTTACTGATTGATTTTGTCTTGGAGGTTCCTTGTGACTTAAACTTACCAGTATAGTTATTTGCCTGTTTTTAACCAATATAATTCTGAGACTGTGTCTTACAGGATGGGATTTTCACATTTTGTTGTCCTAACTATGAGTTTTTCCTGTCTTTATTTCTGAGGGGTATTTTTGGTAGAAAAAAGAATTCATGCCTGTCAGTTATTATTTTGCCACTGTTGGGAATTATCTTTTCATTGTTTTCTGGGTTTTATCTTTCTTGTGGAAAAATTAGCTTTTGGTATTATTCTTTTAAAGTTATCTTTTAGGGGTGCCTGGGTGGCTCAGTCTGTTAAGTGTCCAACTTCGGCTCAGGACATGATCTCACGGTCCATGAGCTCAAGCCCCGCATCAGGCTCTATGCTGACAGCTTAGAGCCTGGAACCTGCTTCATTCTGTCTTCCTCTCTCTCTTTACCCTTCTCCCACTCACACTCTGTCTCTCAAAAGTGAATACAGGTTAAAAAAAATTAAAATATATATATATATCTTTTAAAATATTTTTATTTTAAATTAAATTTTCTATTTTTTTTTTTTTGGTAGTCACATATTCATATACAGTTCTAAGAAACACAGAGAGATGCTATGTACCCACTTTTCCCAACTAGGAGCATCTTACAAAACTAGAGTACAGTATTGGGAATACAGATTCTTATTGTAGTTTTAATTCCTGCTTGCCTAATCTTCACTTCAGGTATGGCTAATCTTCTGTTACCAAGAACTGAGAGTCCACATTCAGTGGCTTTATCTTTTATAATCTAAAATTTCCCCTTGAAAGTTTAACATTTTTCTCATTAATTGTACTTTTATAACGAATGTTAAGAAAATAATTTTAGGATGCGTGCACCCACTTCTGACACAATGAATAGGGTTTATTAAATAAATCATTATATATCTGTACCATAAAATTCCTTGCTGTTTTTGAAATGGTGATATAGACAAACACCTAACTATCTGAAGTGATCATCTTAAAATATTATCTATATATTATATAATATATTAATTACTGTTATATTCTAACATAATATGATTAAAATATAATACATTATATAATCTGTAAGTACTTCAGGATACACTTTTCATCCATTTTGTTCTTATCATATTTTCCAATTTTCTTGTGGTCCATGAACGTGGTAAAAAGAGTTGTTCATTTATATATAAACAAATACCTTCTCAGGAGGGCATTGATAACATAAGCAATGATTACTTTAGCACAGTATTGATTGGGCCTTATAAAAAAATAGGCAATGTTTCTCAGTAGTATAATTTTAGGACAAGCTTTAAAATTATTTAAAGTAGGTCTGGACAATATAGTTAGAGTCATTCTGGTTTACCAAAGACAATAAAGGGGAACAAATGACTCGGCTGGACCTAGACCCTAGACCCTTTCTATCTGGATTCACCTGTGACAAACTTTAAGGTGGTCCTCATGGAATTCATGCCTCCATGTAATCCCTTCCCTTGAAGTCTGGATGTGACCTGTGATTCGCCTCTGAGAAACAGATATGGCAAAAATGTTGATATATTATTCACCTGATTGTATTGCACTACATTATATTTTATAAGACTGATTGATAACAGACTTTGCAGATCTCTTCCTATTTGTTTGGTGAAGTAAATGGGCTACATTAGGGAAGCCCACGGAGCAAGAACCGGGGGGCAACATGTCAAGACTCCAGGTAATACTCAAGAGCTGAGGAAAATCCTGAAGCTCTGAGGTCTGTAGCTGAAAGTAATTAAATTCTTCCAATAACCAGGTCAGCTTAGACGCGATCTCAAGCCTCAGGTAAGATCATGGTCCTGATGGATACCTTGATTCCAGTCTTGGGAAAGACCCTGCAAAGATCCAGCTAAGCCATGAACAGACATCTGACCTACAGAAACTCTGAGGTCATAAATAAGAGTTGTTTTAAGATGCTAAGTTTGTGTACTTTGTTATATAACAGAAAACAAACAAACAAACAAACAAACAAATGTATATCACCTGCCAGACTTCTGCTTACTTTATGTGCCACAGCCACACTGGTCTCCCTTCAGAATCACAGTGCTCCTTTAGCCTGTTGCCATGCTACATCCAGACTCGCCACCCAGGTTCAAGCTCTTCTTAACTTCCCCCACTGTCTGTACTCCCTTCATACATAGATTCTCTTCATGTAGTTAAAACCTAACATCGTTTGGTACCAATATTACTCAATGGACACACACATGTCACTCCTGCAGGCCCTCCAAAGTAGACCAACAAGTGCCTTCTCTGTAATCTAGGCTCACAGCATCAATGGGACTGGAAAGTTCACAGTTTCCTCCTAATTTAATACAGGGCTTCACCCAAAGCATCCAATATAATTCTATGATGGATATATGCACGAATGAGTTCATTTTTTGAGTAACATTTGGGATCTGGAGAAAATTCATTTTCAAGGATTCTCAAAAAAAATCTATTGGGTACTTAAAATAAAGCTTTATAAAATTATTTCCACTGAGCCCAAAAATAACACTGCGGGATTTTGAGGATTATATATAAAAATAATAGAAAGAGAGCTGCTTGTTTTTCTTCTATCTCAGTGATAGGAAGGAAACAATTAACTTACCTGGCCAGGCTTTGAATTTTCACAGACAACAATATCATATTCCCTGGCAAGTTCAGGTGGATTGTCATTGACATCCAGAACTCTAATACCCACTGTCACATGGCTCAGCAAACCAGGATTGTCTGCAAAACACACAGGGATATATTTAGTATTTCTATGCACACTTTGGAGGCTTGGGTTAAAACAAATCTCCCTAGTATTGTAGCTTGTCACCATCTCCATATGCTGCAACAGGACTTTTGGCAAAAGACAACTTTATGATGGCACTCTTTGCGAGAACTCATTAACTTACAGAAAAATGAAAAATGAAAAATGAACACCAAGGCATGACATGCATGCTAAAATGATATTTTGTCATATCAAGGAAATTACATGTTATTCAGGAACTGGAGTGGGAGAAAGTTGTCAGAATTCATTGTATGCTGTCAGAGTCTGAGGGATGAACAATTGGTTTCATCATTAATCTAAGAAAAGCATCGCAGTTGGTAAAAAAAAAAATACATAATGTTTAAAAAGTTCAGGGTTTCAAATCTAAATAAACTTGGGGAAAATAAAAAGTACAATTTCTTTACACAAATGATAATTTTCTTCTTTTGTTTAAAGTGTATTTATTTATTTGAATGAGAGAGAGAAAGAGCATGAGCAGGAAAGGGGCGGAGACAGAGAGAGTATCTTAAGCAGGATCTGCGCTTTGTGCAAAGTCCAACATGGGGCTCAATCTCATGATTCTGAGATCATGAGCCAAAATCAACAGTTGGACACTTAACCAACTGAGCCACCTGGTGCCCCAGGATAATTTTCTTCTTATAGAAAAAATGCATGCAGTATGTGATATTAAGTCATATTTGGGGAGAAATAAAGAATAATTTAAATCAGAACTTACCATAGAATTAATATATAACTCTGGTAGATATAAAAATATTATAGTTAATACCCTAAAATATGTCTTAAACACATATTTAAAAAAAAATCTTCCCATTTTTTAGTAAGTTTATTAATTCTGAGATGGAAGAAAAAGAAAAATTTTTCATTTTATTTACATGTTAGAGCTATAAATGCAGGATTAATAATCAGAAAACTAAATATATATATTTTATTGCTGATATTTGTCATTACCTTTAAAAACTCCAAAATAAAAAAAAATAGACGAATACATGTAAAAAAGGACTACTAAAAAAGACAAAGTCTAGACCTATTTATAAATTATCAAAGCAGAACATGAGAAGGCAGAAACTAAATTTTGGAAAAAAGGGGATATGGATATACATATATAGAGAGAGAAGATACTGAAAATAGTAAGAACATGCATGGAATAAAAAGTGCCAGAATTAGCTTTAAAAAGAATAGAAAATTTGAGGAGGAGCACAATAACTAAATAAAATCAAATTTCATTTAAAAATAATTTTTCAGGGTACCTGTGTGGCTCAGTCAGTTAGGTATCCAACTCTTGACTTTGGCCCAGGTCATGATCTCATGGTTCCTGAGTTCAAGCCCCATGTCAGGCTCTGTGCTGACAGCAGAAAGCCTGCTTGGGATTCTCTCTCTTTCCCTTTCTCTATGCCCTTCCCCTGCCTGTGCGCTCGCTCTCTCTCTCTCTCTCTCTTTCTCTCTCTCAAAATGAATAAGCTTTAATAATAATAATAATAATAACATTATTACATTATTAACATTAACATTATTAAGATAAAAATAATTAACATTACTATATAATAATAATAATAATAATAATAATTATTATTATTATTATTTATTATTATTTCTGGGGATCTGAGTGGCTAAGCCTATTAAGCATCCAACTCTTGATTTTGGCTCAAGTCATGATCTCATGGTCTTGAGATCAAGTACTCTGCCAGGCTCCATGCAAGGCATGGAGCCTCCTGAAGATTCTTTCTCTCCTTCTCCCTCTGCCCCCCCTCTGCTCCTCTCCCTCTGCCTTTTCTCCCTCTCTCTCTCTCTCTCAAAATAAAAATAAATATTTTTCTAGGGGTGCCTGGGTGGCTCAGTCCATTAAACATCTGGCTCTTGATTTCGGCTCAGGTGATGATCTCAAGATATATGAGTTGACACACGGCACTGACAGGACAGAGCTTACTTCAGATTCTCTCTCCTTCTCTCTCTGACCCTTCCCCCTCTCAAAAATAAACAAGTGTTAAAAAAAATAATACTTTTTCTAAAGAGAAAAACATCATCTAGATTATTTTACCTAAAGTTAAAGAAACAGGCAATTGAAGTCTTACACATCTCTTTCCAGGAAAACAGTGGAAGAAGGAAATACCCTAAAGCTTGTTTTCCATGGCTTATGAAATGTTGGTATCAATCCCAGACACTCTCACTGATAAGAGATTTTAGGTGTAAACAGCCTAAACAAGACACTGGTGTGTAAAAATTATATACATATATATATATATATATATATATATATATATATATATATATCTGGCAATTTAGTTCCACACTTGCTTAGTTTAGCATTAAAGGAAAGAAGAAACGAAGGAAGGAAGGAAGGAAGGAAGGAAGGAAGGAAGGAAGGAAGGAAAGAAGGAAGGAAGGAAGGAAAATGCAGAGGAAGAAATGAGGAAGGACATTTTAAAAAGCACAAAAATTACTCAAAAAGTTAATGAATTAAAAGAGGAACAAAAAAAAAAACCCATAATCTCCTCAACACATATGTAAAAACCAAGATTTAGAACACAGTATCCATGTATTATAAACACAATGAAACAAACCAAACAAATCACAACAAAAACAAAAAACAAAAACTCTCAGTGAACTAGAAACAGAAATGTGCCCTCTCCAACTGATTAAGAGTACATTAAACAAATAACAACAAGAAAACAACAGTGTACATTATTCTTAATGGTGAAAAACTAACTGGAATTAATTAACAAAGCTATAAGGAAACTAGAAATAAATCTAACAAAGTAAATGAAAGACCTATATGCAAACACTTTATTGAAGTGTTTTATTTAACTTATTTAGACTTCATTAAAGAAGATCTAAAGAAATGAAGAGCTATACCACGTGTGTGGTTAGGAAGACAAAAATAACACAAATAAAACCAACCTTTCCAAATTGATGTGCGTATTGGGGTGCCTGGGTGGCTCAGTTGGTTAAGTGTGGACTTTTGGTTTTAGCTCAGGTCATGATCTCAAGGTTCGTGGGATCAAGCCCCATGTCAGGCTCTGTGCTGATGGCATGGAGCCTGCTTGGGATCCTCTCTCCCTCTCTCTTGGCCCCTCCCCTGGTCTCTCTCTCAAAAGAGTATAAACTTTAACAAAAAGCAAATTGATGTGTATATTCAGTGTAACCTATTGAAAATCCCAATGTTCATAGAATTAAAAGCTGATCCTAAAATTTATAATTACTAAGATTATTCAGACTTGTATGGAGGAGAACAATAAAGAATCCTTGCTCTACAATTTACGAGGCTTATTATATGATACCAGTGGCTATACTATTGTCACTATGTAAATATCTCTCTTACTTTCTAGATGTCATATCTGATTTTTCTCTTGTATTATTTTATTTCCCAACTAGGTACTTGTTCACCTTTTAAGAGCAGACCAAAGCAATGTTTTAGAAATCTGAGGCAAGAATAATTTTATTGGCTCTAATCATTAGTATCAGCAGCCTTAATTGTCCCTGCATAAATAGTTCTCTGCTCATTTTCCAAGAAGGCAGAATTAGAAGCAAGCTTAGTGTAGTTAGGGATAAAAACAACTGTTTTGTAGGAGAGGATTCTGGAAAGACTACATCTTGAGAAAAGCCTACAACAAAAGAGTTAGGTGTCTGATTGTTTTCAGCCTTTGCCTTCTCACTGTCCCCACTCTGTCTTGCTCACCACATCCTCTGGACTGGAATGGCCTTGCACTCATTCCATACCAGAGTTCAAGAAACTCCACTCTTCTCGATGGAAATGGACTCTGTGTTTACCAAACATTGCTTTATTAATTCAATGCATAATTACTATTCCTTTCCTTAATGGTGAAAAACATAGTGTTCAGCAGCAGACAAATGACAGATTGTGTTCTGTGGGGAAGCTGAATGGATTCTAAGCTTAGTGTGGTTGGGACTAATGACCTGTGTGCCCTGCCATGCCACGGCAACCACAGGAGATACTGATGAAAAGATACGAGAAACAGAACGTTGGAGTAAGCTTACTGTCATTACCGATGCATGTCGAATAACTGCTGTCTATTTACTAAATGTCGGATGATTTGTAAAAACTGTGCCTTTAATTCCATATAATTAGAGGCTGGAAACACATGATGGTTTTGTAGCCACTTGTAGCCTACCTGCGTACATTCTGGTATTTTCTGCTCAATAATAAAATTAGCTAATTCTAAATTAGCAAACTGGCAGGTGCCTTTGGGTTCCTCTTTCTTATTTCCCATGGCCCTTGAGTTAGTATGTTACCCTTCAAATGACAATAACTGTACCTATAAAATGTGTATATGTTCAAGTGTGTTAGAAGCATTTTTCTCTGGCAAAAATTAGATAATGATCCTGAAGTTCTGAATGCAACGTTTCTGTTATTGCTATTATTACTTTTGTCTTCATGCTTTATTTCTAGAAATTGATGTTTTTATTTATTTTTTTTATTTTATTTTTAATTTTTTTTTCAACGTTTATTTATTTTTGGGACAGAGAGAGACAGAGCATGAACGGGGGAGGGGCAGAGAGAGAGGGAGACACAGAATCGGAAGCAGGCTCCAGGCTCCGAGCCATCAGCCCAGAGCCCGACGCGGGGCTTGAACTCACGGACCGCAAGATCGTGACCTGGCTGAAGTCGGACGCTTAACCGACTGCGCCACCCAGGCCCCCCGGTATTTATTATTTCTAAACCTTGATTACTTAACCTGTTATCCATCATTTGACTTCCCAAATTGTGTTTCTGAGAAACAATTAACAAAGTCATGTAAATTTTAGAACACTGAGCCTGAGAGAGCAGACCGCACATCTGAATCCTTTCTGAAGATCACAAACAAAACAGAAACAAAACTTACAGCATGCTGGCAATCCTATACATTTGCATTCCAGCAGAAACTACACTATAAAAAATCACCCATGCTTCATGTAATGCCAAAATAAATGCAACTCCATGAAGACAGGGATTCAGTGA